AAGCATCCGAGCTGCGGGGTCCTGCTGTCACCGGGTTAATAACCACCGATTAAAAGCTGTATTTACTCGTGTACTTGCTGCGCATAACTGGCTGCCTGCTTGAGTGACAACAAAAATGAGCAGGGTGTGTATAAGCCAAGAAGCCAAGCCAAGCCAACTCACCCCTTCCTAAGCTCCTGAAAACTCCTGTCAGCTTTGCTGCTGGCCCTGAGTTTTCTGCCTCTCTGGCACTGTTGGGGCAGTTAACCTAATTGTTCCTCTGGGTCATCCTGTGTATAAGCCCTCTCCTGCTGAAGCACAAATTTCTCAGCCTATGCACAAGTGCAGATGGGAAATGGACCGAGCAGACCGAAACAGCAAAGCCGGGCTGGAAATCTTGAGGATAGCCGTGCTTGCCCGAGATCTGGGCTGCAGAGGTCCTGGAGGGATGTGTGACTGTGTATCAGTTAACACTGACCAGCTGCGTTGTCACGCAAAACGCTGTCGTTACAAGGCTCACCGTCCATCCCCGGGGTCCCAGGCATCCTGGGTGTGCGCAGTTTGCCGTGATATTTAAACGGCTTGTTCTAGGCAGTAGGGCCAACCCCAAATGTTCAAAACATCACCAAAAAATCATGAGCTTGGCTTTAAAGTCATGAGATGATGTCAACATAATGGCTTTGGTGTTCTTTTTATTTGCCTTCTGCTTTTTGAGCCTTTAGGGTGCCATGGGGTCACAGCTGGAAGCTTTCTCCACAGCCAGGAGGGCTAGAAACTTACTTTTTCTTTAAGAATGAAGGCTGCAATCATCACATCTCCAGGAGCTGGGGCTTTAAGGAAAACAATAATTATCATGAGACTCACAACAAAATCATGAGAGTTGGCAACATTGTGTAGGAGGCTTGTAACGCTGTAGGCTTAGCAGCTGGGGAGACGGGCAGGGCCAGTCACTTCAGGGAACATGGACATGTGCACTAGCTCAGGGGAGAGGTTTGGGGCTGCCAGGAGCTGGGGTCATCAGAAAGCTTGATAAAGGATTTGGCAGAGGGGTTGGGCAGCTGGGATTTTTTTATTTTTGGAGGGGGGTGTGGAAAGATGGGGGGTGTCTCCTGACGCCTGTTTTTTTCTGAGCCCAGTCCATGAATGTTTAGAGCCTGACCCATGACTCCAATGGGGGTTTTGGTCTGGGTACCCTACCATTGCAACCAGCTCTTGTCTACGGCTTCCTGCGACCGGGTTCCCTGTTTGGAAAACACTGCAATTAAGCAATTCTGCTGCTGTTGAGGACGATGGCAAAGCTCCCACCGACTTGAGTGGGTGCAGGATTGGTCCCTGAATTGCAAAGTTATCAGGAGAGGAAAAAACTTCATTAGATCTAAGGATAACTCATCCTCCAAAGGTTTTAAGCAAGGCTCCCAACCACCATCATGTTGTCCCATTGCCATTGGCTTTCCCTGACTAGCTGCGTACTTGATTCTTTCCTGAGGGCGTGAATAAATTCTCTTCCACTTTATTTTTTTATTTAAGTTTATTTTTAATACGATTGTTTGCAAATGAAGCAGCTGGAATCAAAGGTTGACTGGCAGTGCCACGATTGTAGATCCTGTTGAATGTGTTGAGGGGAGGGACGGGGACCTCATCGTGTTTAAATCTTGATTTGTCTCTCCACGGGAGAGATTGTGTTTGTACCTGGTTAAAAAATGCTTTAATAAAAATGAATGATGATGACAAAGAAGTGGAGGTTTCCACAGTGAAAAATTCTTCCCTGGAGCGTGTCCTTCCAGCCTTTTGGGTGTATTAACATCAGGGGTCTGATTTATTTATTTTTTCCCCCCTCACTCTCTCCCAGTGTAAATCAGGAATAACTCCACTGCTGTCAGCGTGTGGAGCTGGGGCGCTGGTCCTGGATCCGCATGACGTCCGTACTGGAGCAGGGTGCCTGAGGGCACATTTGCGCTGCGGTTTGGAGCCTGCCAGCCTGGCTTGACTTGGGCTGGTGAGGCTTGCTCTGGTTTTTCCAAAAAATGCCGTGTAGACAATGCTCTGAAGTTGCATCTTGGGCTGGAGATCACATCTTCAAAGCGTTCCTGCTACCCTGAGTCTGGCAGATTTGAGCTAGCGGATTTGGGCGGGGGAGCGTCGCTGTTGCAGGCCCCAATATGCAGTGTAGACACACCATGAAGCACTGGGCAATCCAGCACCTCTAGGCACCTATGGATGGCTAAGTCTCCTGCAGCAAACTCCTGCTTGTTCCCTTCCGTTTTTTATTTGGGCGAACGCCATTCCCTGCCAAAGGAACGTTCCCTAAAGCCCATTATAAATCACACCCTGAGGTCAGGTGTGTCCCGGGCGTTTGAAAGTTGAGCTCCCCGTAAGGAAAACACAATCCTACCCACAAGCGTCTCGGTCACAGTTAGTCCTTCATGTGTCTCCTTGCCTCCCCGCCTGCTCTCTACAAAATGCTGTTGGGGATCTTAATTTGAGCCTGCCTCTCCTTTCTGACCTGCGTTAATGAGCAGGGGCATGGTTAATAATTAAGGGAGGCCTCATGGATAATGCACTGGCTTGGGTCTCAGGAGATGTTGGTTAGATTCCCGACCCTGCTCGCTGAGTGAGCTTGGGTAAGCCACCCCTCCTTCTCTGTGTTTCAGTTCGGGGATGATGATACCCACCTCCTTTGTAAATCTCCTCGGGATCTACTGATGATAAGTACCATATGAGAGCTAACAATGGGGACATTTGGGCTTTGCCTTCACTAAGGAAAGTAGCTGAGTTTAGGGCTGGCTTTGCTAAAGGCCAGCTAAGCCTGACTTAAGTGTGTCCACTTTTCTGAGTCAGGATAAAGCCTTGAAACCATAATTGGCTTAGCAGCCGTTGAAATCGGTGAGGCAGTCTCCACATCAGAGCTACTGTTACAGGCTCTCTGCAAACTCAGGCAGGCTCTTCTGAATTGGTAACACTCGGGGCAGCTCTCCCCTCTCAGATTGATCTTAGTGCTGGTCGACACTTAAAAATTAGGTCAACCTAGCTACGTCACTCAGCTGTGAAAAATCGCCTGTCCTGAGTGCTGTAACCTAACCCCAGAGTGGGCACGGCTAGGTCAATGGAAGAATTCTAGCTACCGCCTCTTGGAGAGGTGGATTAGCAACATCAATAGAAACCCCACTTCTGTCAATGTGGGAAGCATCTACACTATGGCACTACAGCAACAACAGTTACACTCAGAACAGTTACCCTCTCTCCATCAGTGTGTCAGGCTCTCTGCAAACTCAGGGAGACTCTACATCAATCCTCAATCCCACTCTTCACATTTTGAAGATTTCCTTTGTAAGCGTAACAGCCAACATCTTATTTTTTCCGTTTATACAAAAGCTTTAGCTCTGAGGAACGATTGGGAGGTCTGGCTATACCCCCTGCCCCAATTAGTTGTTCAAAGGCACATCCCGTTCTTTGTGAAACCTGGTCCTAACAGGAACACAGCCCTAGCTCTGAGTTGTTAGTGTGGTGCTGCTAGGTTTTTCCAGCACACAGCGGCAGGGCGCAGCATTGCCCTTCTGCAGTATGCGCTCCCACAAGAGCTGCGTATGTGCAAATTGATCCTCGCGTTGCAGAAGGTCTGCGTGGAAAAGCTAACCTAACCCCAGAACAATCGGATGCTTGACTAGCCTCCACTGTACGTGCTTTAAACATAAATCTCCCAGGGGCATTGCAGCTTCCAAGGCACCAACCTCCATTTTGTCCAGCATGTGTGGCAGGAGATCGGCTGATGGGGGGATGGAGTTTTATAGCTGCTTTTAAGGTGATTTGTAGTAATGGACGCTCGGTTTTCTGCTAGCTCCATGCCAGCTCCCTCCCCTGAATTACCGGCAAAATCTTTCATGCTTGACACAAAGGATCACACACACATGCTGCGGAAATGGGCCTTCTCCACTGAAAAGCTTTTCTCTAGAGCTCGGATTGAATTTATTACCCTCTCCCCACCCTGACCTCTGAGCTCCTAATCTGATTTTGCAGA